ACTGCAAAAGCAAGACCCTACTTCCATCCTAGCACTGCAAGGCACTGCACTGAGCACCCACAAGACTTGGCATTGAGCCATTCAGTCCAAGTGTCCAAGTAAAGCTGGGAGTGGCCCCTGGAGCCCTGAGTAGTGCATGGGAGACTCACCGTCACCCCAATAAGACTTCCTGCTGGGGCCAGAGTGACAGTATAACGGGCAGTGTGCTTGCCTTTCACTTGGTCACATGAGGTTCAATCTCAGGCATCCGATAAGGTCTCCTGAGCACTGTCTGGAGTGATCCCTGAGCGCAGAATTGGAAGAAGCCCAGAGCACCACTCGGTGTGGCCCCAAACCAAGAAACAGAAACAAAAACAAGATTTCCTGTTCCATGATAACTCTCTAAGATTATCAGTGAGAATCTAAGGAGGTGGGTCGGGTTACACATGGGGCAAGGGCACCCAGCCTTCTCCCAGGGCCCAGACACGCAGGCCAGGATATCTTGTATAGCCCTGCCCACTGCACTCCAATTCTCCATGCCCAGATTCAAAGGATGTGCATGAACTGTCCAATAGGCAGCAGATGGAGAGAGGGCTCCTGCCCACAGACTCATTCTTGCTGACCTGCGCTCGAGTCTTCCCAGATGAGCATGTACCTTCAGTGCTTCCTGTCGTCATCCAACCCTTGACATCAGGGTTCGCAGGAGCAAGGCACAGAGGTGAAAGCTGCCTGGCCAGGACACTCACCACAAGGGTGAAGCCAGAGCACAGGGTGCCTGCTGGGTGGTCCTGCATCTACACAAGGCCCGAGTCAGCAGAGACAAAGGGTCTGAGGAGTCTGTTGTGGCAGAACTCACAAAACACGTGCACCGCTCCTTCCAGTCTGCTCAGCCCAGAGTCCGTCACTCTGAAGCACCATTCCCCAGAGACGGCCAGGGGACATGCATGCAGTGCCCTGCACTGCCCCTGAGAAAATACCGACCCTCCTTGAGAAAACGGAGCCAAACCTTAGGAAACAAGTTTCCAAAGAGCCCACAGGGGGCTCCCACGGGTATGACCACAAATCACAGGCTCGCAAGGCTTGACTAGAGAGGTGAGTAGAGAGGTGGCCCTGAGAGTCAGGACAGATCCACACATTCCCACACCCAGTGGGGGCCTCCAAAGTCAGGATGGCACCACACACTCCCATAGGCGAGAGGGTTGCAAGCCGGGATTGTGCCACCCACGCCTGCACTAGTGAGGGTCCACACATCACACACTTCCACAGCCGGGAGGGTCTCAGAGGGTCAGAGTCAGGGCAGCACCACACAATCCCCCCCGTAAGGATCAGGGTCAGAGTCGGGGCATCACCACACACACACACACACACACACACACACACACACAGAGCCAGGAGGATCTCAGAGTCGGGACATCACCACACTCCTGCCCGCTGAGCGTCAGAGTCGGACATCACCACACTCCGGTACGGTGAGGGTCAGAGTCGTGACATCACCACAGTCCGGTGCAGTGAGGGTTAGAGTCGGTACATCAGCACATTCCCGCCCGGTGAGGGTCAGAGTCGGACATCACCACTGTCCGGCCTGGTGAGGGTCAGAGTCGGACATCACCACGGTCCCGCCCAGGGAGGGTCAGAGTCGGGACATCACCGCACTCTCGCCCGGCGAGGGTCAGAGTCGACGGCACCACACTCCCGCCCGGCGAGGTGACTCAGGCGCAGCAGGTGCCTCCCGGCCCGCCTGGCTGCCGGTGCCCCGGCGGAGGGCCTCGCCGGCGCAGACGGACCGAGAACACCGTGAGGATCCCTCGACACACGGCGCGGCCGAGCGGCCCGGCCCCGGGCCGGCGCCGGACACTCGCGGCCAGTCCGCGCCTCCCCGCGCCGCCCGGAGGGACACCCCGGGCCGGGCGCGCGGGACGTGCCGCTCACAACAAAGGCCGCCGCGGCCGCCGGGCTCGGGCCCCGCACTCGCCGCCGCGCGCCGCCCGCACGCGCCCCCCGCTCACCGTTGCTGTAGGCGTACGGCGACTCGGCCGCGCCGTCCTGCAAGCTCTCGAGGATCTCGCCCTTGCCCACGTCGCTGTCGCCCACCAGCAGGAACTTCAGCAGGTAATCGTAGCTCTTGACCGGGCTGCCCTGCGTCCCCATGCTTCAGGCGCGCGCGGGCCGCGCCCGCATGCCTCGGCCCGAGCCCGCCGCTCGCGCGCTGCCGCCGCCGCCGCCGGGCCACACACCTGCGGGGGCGCGGGTCAGCTCCGCCGCCGCGCGCGCCCCCGCGCCGCCGTCTCGCTCCCAGCCCACCTCGACGGGGCCTCGCTGCTTCTCGCCTCTCCTCGCCCGGCCCCGCTCACCTCAGCGCGGCCGCCGCCGCCCCGCCGCTTCCCGCACCGCGCCGCGCAGCCCCGCCGTCCGCCCCCGGCCCCCGCGCGGCCATTGGCCGCCCACAGCCTCCCTCCTAGACCCATTGGCTCAGGGGCACGTCCGTCACGGCCTCTCCGCCTCCGCCGTTTCCCACACAGCGCTGCGAAGCCCCAGCTGCCCCGCCCCATCGCCGCCCGGCCCGCCTCCTCACGGTTGCCATTGGCTGTTCGCCCGCCCCTTTCCTACGTCCATTGGTCGGTACACACGTCGATTACGATCGTCCTGCCCTCACGACTTCGCACACAGCCTTGCGGAGATTCCGGTCTCACGCCTCATTGCCGTCGCCATTGGCCGCTCGCCTCCCGAGTTTCCGGAACCACTGGTCCACTTGTCAGTCAGTCAGAACCCACCCCACCCACTCCTTCATTGCGTCCAGGAGTGACTGCAAACTCCTCCCACCACAGCCTACTCCATCCACTCCCCGTCACGATTGGCCAACGCTTTATCCTCCTGGAATTATTGGGCTAGCTGCACTTCGATCACGGTCCTCTGGGCACGCCCACTCGACTGTACGCCCGCCCCTTTCCTAACCGCTCACCAATCAGGAGCTTGGAGCCGGGTTGTTTGCATACGCCCCTTTCCTCGCCGCGGACACGGGCAGGATGCGGACGTTCCCCTGGGAGAGATGACGCGGCTGGGCTCCTGGCGCACCAACCCTTGAGCTAGCGACGCCCTAGAGGCGGCGGTGGGGTCAAGGGTGGCGAGACTCTAGGAGGTGGAGAGGCTGGGCTTCCGTTCTGGGTCGGAGGTGCGGGGACCAGGTGAGGTGGGCGGGCTGGAGATGAGACGGGTCCAGGTGACTAGGGGACCAGGTGGATGACAGGTTTGGAGGCGCCGGCCTGCAAGCACGACTGCGATGGATCCACTCTGTAGGTGATGTCCCACCCCCTCGTCCTGTAGAGCCCTGATAGCCTAGAACCTGCGGCCACTTGCAGGCCTCCAAGGGCTGGCAGCACAGACTTGCGCTGCCCCGGGTGTCCTGGGCAAGGATGGAGGTCACGAGGGTTGGGGGACCCCCAAGTATCAGAGAATTTGTAGCACAGCTCGGCCCTGGACCCTGGGCTCTACGCCCCGGTCCAGCTCCTGTATTTTTTTTTTTTTAACGCAGGATGGTGAAACATTCTTTTATTTTTATTTTGCTTTTTGGGTCACACCCGGCGATGCACAGGGGTTATTCCTGGCTCTTGCACTCAGGAATTACTCCTGGCGGTGCTCGGGGGATCATCTGGAATGCTAGGAATCGAACCCAGGTCAGCTGTGTGCAAGGCAAACACCCTACCCGCTGTGCTATCGCTGCAGCCCCCAGCTCCTGTATTTTTATGGGTCTTTGGGACACACCTGGCCTTGCAGTGAGGGGAGGTGCATGCCAACAGGAGGCTGCCACAAACTGCTCCGACACTCCATCGTGTAGCCCTACTCAGACCACTTCACAGAGATCCAGTGTATTTTTTAGAAGTGATAAAATGGCTCAGAAAAAAGTTATTGACATAAAAAAAACGAATATGTTATCAGGTGGAAGGAAGACACTGTACTTGCGGTGATGCTGAGGGGAGACAAGAGGGAGCTGGACTGGGGCTGGAGCGATAGCACGGGGGTAGGGCATTTTGCCTTGCACGTGGCCGACCTGGGTTCGATTCCCAGCATCCCATATGGTCTCCTGAACACCACCAGGCATAATTCCTGAGTGCAGAGCCAGGAGTAACCCCTGCGCATTGCTGGGCATGACCCAAAAAGAAAAAAACAAAAAACAGAGGGAGCTCCACACAGCACTGTTGGGTGCCCTCCAACAAGCCCCCGGGCTGAGCTCCAGTAAGCTAGTGTGGTTCTCTGCTGGTGGCCTTCCTCAGCACCTAGGGCAGTGAGCCTAGAGTGAGGACCGGATGGCCAACCATCACAAAGCAGGAACCCAGATGCAGGGAGAAGGGAGAGGGGTGGGTAAGTGACCTCTCCTGGTGGCTAGGGGGACCTGTGTCTCTTGGGCCACCTCTGGTGCTGGGCCTGGGCTGGGCCTTGGAGCCAGGCAGGCAGGCAGTACAGTCCTGGAGAGGGCAATGTGAATGCCATGCAGAGGGCCTGGTCAAGAAGCAAACCGTCACACCTGCAGCAGGAACCCAGAGGCAGGATGAAGGTCACATGTGAGGTGCTGCAGGACACACAAAGCACCAGGACAGAGAGGTGTGGGGGCCACTGCGGTGTTCAGGTTGTGGCATCTGGTGACAGGGGCTGTTCTCTACTAGCTCCAGGGCCCAGTCCCGCCTACCAGGACCCTCTGATAGAGGCAACCAGAACCAGAGGTATTGCCTGGAGAGTCTCGGGTGACGGGAGAACTACAGTCAGCTCACCTTGCCCCCAGAGCTGGCAGTATCCTCCAGCCAGAGCCAGGACTAGGCCTAAAACAAGCCCTGGTGTTCCACCCCCAGGGACACCTCAGGGGTGGGGTCTTCTCCAGGAAAACAAGGAAGCAGGTTACTTCAGACAAGCCAGGACAAGAGAGCGGGGGGCAGCAGCAAGACAGAAACCAGAGCACGCACTCTACACATAGGGGAGCTTTATTGCTACTGCAGGAAAATGTGGGTCAGCAGGGATGCCCTGGTCCCCACTTTATCCCTGGAGGCAGCAGAAGCAGCCAAACCTGTGGTGGAAGGGCCCCCCACCCACCTTCAGAAGCCAGGTGCAGGCCCAGGAGAGCCTGTTCCTGTGGGGCTTGGCTACTGGCAGACTCCTCCCGAGAGCCAGCTCCAGGAAGCCACAGGAGGCTGACAGGAGGCCCAGAAGGCAGCACCAGGGGCTGTTGTAAGGCTCCTGCCCCCCTACTCAGCACCCCAGCATCCCTCAGAGCCAGGAGACAGGCCCCAGCGGGACAGAGACGGAGGCAACCACGAGCACCCCACGCCACAGGTGGGTCCTCAGTCCTGCTTGGCCCCCCTCTGCCTCCAGGGGTAGATGAGCTCCCCGAAGAACAGCTTGCTGCACAAGGAGCCCCAGGAATGCTGCGGGGGGCAGCCCGAGCTGGGGAGGCGGTAGGTGCGTACCACATGGCTGTAGGCCAATGGGTTGATCTGGAAGCAAAGGGGGTGATTGTCAGGATGAGCCCTGGAGGCTCGGCTGGGCCCCCACTATGCGACCCTCAGCATGCCGATCCTCCAGGCCATCCAGGAGTTCTGTTGCCGCCACTTGACCTCTCAGTCCGCGAGTCCAGCCCCCAGCCTTCCTCTCCACTGGGGCTCTGGGCAGAGGGGATGGGGGAGCAACCCGCACCTGACCTCACCTGCATCAGGAGGCGGAGGGGCCTCCCAGCCTCGCGCTCCAGGACCCGGAATTTCACGCCGGCTGTGAGGAGACAGGGAGACAAGGGTGGGAACAGAGGGCTGTGCTGGCTCCCACCCACTGATATGGGGGGCACGGTGAGGCTGCACCATGAATGGGGCTCTCAGGATGCCTGCTGCAGTCCCTCCGTGACCCAAGTGTTCGCGACTTCCCAGGCGACCAGTCCAGGAGCCCACAGACCAGCCTGCAGTTCCGGCTCCCAAGCCTGGGCACTCCTAAGACAGAGTTCTTGAAAAACACAGGAGCTAATTATCAATTGATGAAAGGCCCAGGGCAAGCTCGGTGAGGAGGAGCGAGGGCGGGAGCGGGGCAGCCTTTCATGTGGGAAGCAGGCGCGGTGCTGGGCTCGACAGCCAGGAGAGAAGGGGTGGGGGTGTCTGGCCTGGGCTCAGAAAGACGCCGACTGCAGGTTTAGTCCTGGGGCTCCTGCTGCCTCCTCACTGTGCCCGCCCTTTGGGGACCCCTGGGTGGAGTGGGGCGGGGGCAGTGCTGAGAACTCGAGAGTTTCCCTCCAACATTCAGCACCACTGGACTAGACAAAGGCACACATTTGCACCAGAGGTCAGGCCAGCAGGCCAAGGGAGCAGCACTGACTCCCACAGCAACAGGGGGTGAGTTCCAGGGCCCATCCAGGCGCCAGCGGAACAGCTGTGAGCTGCCTCCAAGCCCCTGTTCACCAGGGCAAGAAAGTCCCCGCTGCCTCGCTGCGTTGTGGATGTGGCCCCAGGCAACCCCCTCACTAAGGGGACAGGGTCCTGTCCTCCCTCCTGCCAGCCCAGCACCTCACCGCTCCCAGGGACACCACCTTGCACATGCACCCGGCACCTACCCGCAAGCCTGTAGGGCCGGCAGAGCCGAAGGCCTAGCGCAAACAATGGCAGCGAGTTGATGAGATCCACAAGCAGGTGGATGACGCCCTGCACGGTGACCACCAGGAGCCGGAGCTGCAGCCCAGACAGTGGTCAGGGCTGCAACCGTGGCCATGGCCCCACCAGAGTGCCCAAGAGCAGAGCACAAGGACCCAGGGCTCACCCCAACCTGGGACCAGCAGAAGCAGGGGCAGTGGGGGAGAAGCACTCCTGGCCCTGCCCTTGAACCCCCAACCCAGAACAGCAGTTGACAGTGCAGGGAACGTCTGCTGCCAGGCCCGGACATGGCCCTCACTCACCAGGGTGAACACCAAGTAGTAGAGGGCTGTGGTAGGTAGCAGAAAGATCAGGATGGTGAAAAGCAGCGTCCCGATGAACAGCTGGGGGGTGGCAACATCAGAACAGTCCCGCCCATGAGAGCTCATCAGCGGACACCACCCTGGGGGTCCCTCAGGCTCTGGTGGGGTCACCTGAATGCCACTGCCCAGTGCTTCCTACCAGGCCCCAGCACCCTGGTCATCGGGTCCCCCAGTCACCCTGGTCACCTGGTCCAAGTCATAGGAGCAGGAGTCCACTCGCTGGCGAAGCACATTCCACTTCTTCCCCCGGAACAGACGCCAGAGTGATGATAGCCCATAGATCTTCAGGCAGTAGAGCCTGCGGCAGGACACAGCTGGGGCAAAAGCACGTATGGCATGGTGGGCACCCACGCACCAGACTCACTGAAAGGGGGCACGCACCTGGCTCCGTAGACGTAAAAACAGTAGATGTGGAAGGTGAGTAGGGCCAGGATGTCCGACAGGATGGACAGGGCGACGGTCAGTCCCAGGCAGGCAGACAGGCCCACGTGCCACAGAATGCACTCAATGAAGGGGGACATAAGGTGGATGTAGCCTGGTGGGATGGCGAGGTCAGCTCTGAGCGTAGCTCCCTCTGGAGTCCTGGCCCCTGCCACGGCTTCCAGAAACTAGGACTGCTAGACAGACGGCTGGCCATCACTGGACCAGAACTGCAGACTGGCTGGATAGCTAGATGTGAGGGCTGGCGTGTGGGGGCGGGGGGGGGGGGGGCACTCACTGATCCACAGGTGGATGTGGTACAGGAAGAAGCGGCCAAGCACCTGGTCCAGAGCACGGTTCATCTTGAGCCCGGCGGGCGCGCCCATCAGCCACTGCAGCAGCTGCTGCAGCTCCTCAGACACATGCTGCAAGCACAAGGGAGGTCCCAGCTGCCCCAGCTGCTTGGCAGGCTAGCCACCGAAGGAGCAGGTCTACAGTGTCCTCGGGGTCAGCAACACCCGCTTCAGAGTGGTGGGACTTGGGGCATTGTGGGTTGACACCTGATGGGCAGTACCTTCACAACAAGCACGCTCCGTCCTCATCCCGCCTCCCGGCCACTGGCCTCCAGGTCCCTTGGGGCCAGGCTCCCACATACGGGGTAGAACCTGCTCTCCAAGGCCTTGGAGGGCATCGCAAGGTGTCCATTGCCCTTTTCCCAGGACCCCTGCCATACAAGCCTCTGTGTGGGAGTGACCCAGCTGCAAGCAGGGGGCTAAGCACTTCAGTGACCCTGGGAGGGTCAGTGTTCAGTGACCCCAGCTACACATCATCCCTGATACAGCAGACAGGTCTGGGGAGACTTCAGGGAGGGCAGACGAGGACCCAAAATGAGAAAATGGAGTTGGGAGTGTCTCTCAGGAGCAGGCACCTGAATAAGGGAGGAGCTATATCCAGAACCAGGCTGCCCGGAGCTGGCCACCCACCTGTGCCCTATGGCAGTTTGAGAGTCATAGAAAGGCATGGCGGCAGGAAGCAGCCCTCACATCTAAATTAAATATTTGTATTTCTGAAAAAAAATTTTTAAGTGTTTGTATTTTAAAATTGAATATATTTCTGAAAGGCAGGCAAAAGGTGGCTAGGGTGCAGGAGATGCCCCAAAGGTCTGCATTCTGCAGAGCCCAGTCCAGTGTCCAGGTTGCTGGCATGGCAGTGGAAGCCAACATATCCATGCCACTGCCTGGTGGAGAGAGGCACCAGCAGCAGCTCCCCGAGGTCCAAGAGACAGTCCAACACCATGAAACAAGTGCCTAACACCAGTGACGGAGGCTGTCAGTCGCACAGGGGCGGCGGAGGGGATGGGGACCAGCTCAGGAGTGGGAGGACTGGGCCTTGGGTCCTCTGTGGCTGCCGCAAGGTCCAGGGATTACCCAGAGAGCCAAGAGAGCAAGCAGGGCATGTGCCTCTCAGGACAGGACAAGCAGCCCAGCAGCACAGGCAAGAGAACAGCCTCAGAACAGCCTGTGCCACGGCCGGCCACCAAGTCTCGTCTCTGGTCCAGGCAGGGTGTGGTGGTGGGGAAGTGGCTCAGGCTCAGACAGTCCCCACCCATCACTCACATCAGCCACAGGGACGAGGGCATCCGCCAGCTGCCCAATGTGGTCCTTCCTGTGTAACCAGAATAGCAGCACGAGGCCAAGGGCCAGGTCGAGGAGCAGGGACACAAGCGTGTTGGCCTTCCTGGAAGGAGGGTCAAGTGCACATGAAGGCACCTGGCCAGGGCAGCAGTGGCCACTGGGAGGAAGCCAGGGCAAACCCACACCTCATCAGCTGTGCAGGGTCCTTGGCCTTCTGCGTGCTAAAGACCAGCCTGAGGTGGTCGAGGCGGTGCCTGAGCTGCTCGCACGTGGACAGTTTGCTCCAGATGAACGTCAGGGGCCATGACTGCAGCAGCCTGCACAGCGCAGAGAGGGGTGGGAGGTGCCATGCTCCTAGGAAGCCAGAGCACCCCCTCCGCTTCCAGGGCCCATAGGACAGGGCAAAGAGGCCTGTGTGCTCGGGACCTCAGGACTACTCAGTCAAAGCCGTGTCAGGACTGCACCCCAGTGGGAGGAAGCGCCGCCCAGCTACCAGGGGTCCAGGGAGAGGCTGTTCTCTAGGCTCCTTATGCTCTGAGGGCCATGGGTCCTGGCAAAGTGGACGTGCCCAGAAGGTCACTTGGATGGGGAACTCAAGGGTTACTACCATCTTGGGGCCGGAGGACTGTGGGACACTGGGGTGGACCTATGTCCAGCCCACCACCTTCTCTCTAGTTCCAAAGTGCAGGAAAGCTCCTCCCCTCACGGAACCCTGAGATGTGGCATCTCTCAGGGCAGCCCAGGGACACCCTAAAGCTGGTCCCTCCAGCAGCTAACGACCCACGCTCCACAGGCCACAGGAGTCTCTCAGCCCGGAAAGCGGGCAGAGGTGAGATGTGGGGGAAGACACGCAGCCGACTGAGCACAGGCCTCACGGGCAAGAGACCCGGTTCCCCAGAACAGGGGTGAGAGCACAGCAGTCGCCAAGCACTGCCAGATGCGGCCAAAGAACAACAAAAAAGACAGGACCAGGCAGAGTGCAGGCTAGCAGGTAGGGCATGTGTCTTGCACAAGGCCGAGCAGGGTTGGATCCCCGGATTCTGCCAGCAGTGAGTCACGAATGCAGAGCCAGGAGCAGGCACCAAGCACTGCCAAGTGGTGGCCCTCAAAAAGCACATCAGGGACTCTGAACTTCCGCTGAGCTCCCAGTGTGCCGAGGCCACCTGCAGTGCAGGGTGGTGGGAGCCCTCATGCCTGCCTCTCAGGTCCCAGGACAACCAAAGGGCTCCTGGGAGATGTTGCTGAGCCAGACAGCCCCCCGTCACAGCAGCTGGCTGGGAGGACAGGGCCACATCCTGGGCGTCCACATGGGTGACGGATGGGATTGCAGTGGGGGAGCAATGTTCCCCAGCAGCAGCAGGCGTGCTCAGGGCAGCGTCAGCACTTACCTGCAGGCACTGAGTGCAGACAAGAGCGAAAGCAGATAGGCCATGAGCAGGCAGATGGGCCCTGAAGCCTGCTTGGCCAGTTCCACGAGGATGCTGCCCTCCACACCATCTGACTGCCAGTGGCTCAGTCGCACGGGACCTTCGTCGAAGCGGTCGCTGCAGAAAAGCAGGGTGCTGCGCGCCACCGTGTCAAACACAGTGGCCAGGCCCTCAGCTCTGGCAGTGGCATCACCAGCCTGCTGGTGGGGTAGGGCCACCGGTGGGTGGAGCTGGGCCTGCAGCACTTTGCGCTGGTCATAAAAGACAAGCAGGACCTGGTCCTCTGCAGGGACATTGTGGGCAGTGGGAGCCTGCCAGCGGGTGGCCTTGCAGCTCCACAACCTGCTGCCCCTCTCCCGGCACAGCTGGAGCCAGGGCTCATGGGAGAAGATGGTGCCCAAGCCCTCCAGGAAGTGGCCGAGGCTCTCCTCAGGTTCTTGCTGGTGGTGGCACCAGGTTCCCAGCACGGTCACACCCAGCCGGCTGGCCTGCTGTACCTGGGCCAGGAGCTCCTTCACCTGCACAGGGATGAAAGGGAAGTGCACCACCGCCAGCACCACGGCGCTGCTCTGCTCCGGGACCCAGCGCCCCACCAGCAGCCCACTGTCCACAGACGCGCAGCAGGTGGGGAAAAAGGCCTTGAGCACCATGCTGGGGACGCTGCAAGAAAGGGGGCCAGCTCAGTCGCTGCATGCTGTCATGTCTCCTCCTCCCACCCCAGGGCTGCAGGCGTGGCACACATGGGGCACACAACCCCAGTGGACATGTCCACGTACCCAGGGGCCCACCAGGGGCCCACACGCAGCACAGGAGGCTGAGCTGTTCCACCCACCCTCACCCGTTTCCGAGCAGCAGCAAGAACAGGCTGGCCAGCACCCACACAGCTGCCTGCGGCTGAACTATCCTTTCATCTGCTCTCAGCAACCCAACCAGAGAGACGTGTGATGTGCAGGGAAGAACTCCATCCTCCCCACCAAGGAAGGCACGCTTAAACCCCCAGCAAACCCTCATTCACTCAAGACTAGGCTGGCAAACAATGAGTTGGGTAGGAACAGCCATTGCACTGCGCCACCCTGAGGCCGGCTGGCACTCGTCCTCGGCGCCCCCTCACCCGCTAACTCCCCCTGAACGCTGCTGACTTCTGGGAACTCCCAGCCTGTCCCCGGCTGGGCTGAGGGTCTCTGCCTGCACCACTCCGGCTGGACAGGACAAGGGGCCCACACCTGCCTCGGGAGGCACCCCTCCAAAGCACACCAGCATCTGGCACTTCTTAGCCAGGGAGGGGCACTGGCCTCGAGGGGAACCTGGGTCTCCCGGCAGGCAGCTGCGCGGGGTAGGGGACAGGGCAGGGGGGCCGGCTGGGGCGGAAGCCGCAGCAGCGCCCGTGCTCCCGGAAGGCTCGGCTCGGGGCTGGAACAGCCCGGGCCGTGCATCTGCCCGGCCGGCACTCCCGGCCGCTCCGAGGGCCGCGCGCAGGCCCGTGCGTGCGGGGAGGGGGCCGGGCCGGTGCGGGGGCGCAGCGGGCGGCGTCTACAAAGCCCCGCGCGTAGCAGAGCGGCCGCGGCGGGGAACGGGAGGAGACGCGGCCGCCCCTAGCAGCGGGATGAAAGCGCGGCCGATCGATGCGGGGCCGGGCGGCGCGAGCTCACCGGGGCGCGGCGGGACGGGGCGCGGGGCACCGGCGCGCGCAGCCCCCGGCCCCACTTCCGCCCGCCCCGCGCGTTGCCGCGCAACGGTCCGGCCCCGAAGGCGCCCCGGCCGCCCCCGCGCCCCGCCCCGCCGTTCCGCGAGCGCAGCGTTCCGCCCCACGCGGGCTTGCCCGCGTCCCCGGCGCCCCGCACCCCGTCCGCGCCGTATCTTTGTCCCTTGTGCCCTCTGTCTATCCCGTGCGTCCCTGTCCCCCCCTCATTCGGTCTCTGCATAGGGGCCTTACTTCAGCAACACCAGGCCCGTCTGTTTATTGATCCCTGCACGGGGGCCCTTCCCAAACCCTACAGCAACAATCTCGGGCTCTTCCCCAGAAGCCCCGTCCAGGCCACCAGCTGACCCCACCCCTCAGACAGGCAGAAAGGCCAGTGGAGGCCATGAACCAGGGCGGAATACCCTCCTTCGCCGCCCCCTTACCTCTACCACCGGCAAGTAGTGCAGGAGGCTTGGCACCGGGTGCCTGTGAGGTGGGGGGGCTGAAGGGCCCGGCCCCAACCACCACCCTCCCCGCCCAGCCACACCCTCCTGCCTGCCTGGTCTGATTAGGGCCTGGGCTGGGGCCCCAGGAGGCCGGGTGCCCTGCCCGCCCGCCAGAGCCTCCAGCCCCAATCTTAATCCTGCAGGACTTGAGGTACTGGGTGCTGAGCCCGGGCACCCCAAGCTGGACACAGAGTACAGGAGACCCAGAAGGAAGGTCAGGTGCTCCCGGAACACCTTCACAGCAGTGTTCCTTGGCTGGCAGGTGGGAGGCGCTCACCCCGGGCTACTGGAAGACCTTGATGAAGCCGTCCCCAGCATCAGCCACCACGAGCTGGCCCTGGGGCCCAAAGGCCACCCCCAAGGGCCTGACCAGCCCCTCAGACACCAGCTGGACAGGCAGCCTGGCCCTGGGGAAGAGGGTCACTTGGCGGCGCTGCTCGTCGGCCACCACAAGACCACCATCCGCCTGGGTACACAGGCCTGCGGGGCTGCCGAAGGTGTGGCCACTGAGCGAGCCCAGGGAGCCCAGGGGCTGGCGGGCACTGCCGAACAGCCACACATCCCCACACTCCTCGCTCACAGCCAGGCAGCCGTCGGGTCCCAGACCCACCCAGTGGGGGCCAAGCAGACCAGCCACGGAGGAGAGTGCTCGTGGCCGCAGGCCAGGGCCCAGTCTAAAGCTGTGGACAGTCCCAGCTGTGTAGTCCGTCACCAGGAGGTGGCCAGCGGCGTCCACAGCCAGTCCCCGGGGCGCTAAGAAGGTGCCCACGGTTACCCAGCGGCCTCGGGGGGCCTGCGTGGCATGTTCAAGAGCACGGACAGCCCCATGGACCAGGTCGCTGACCACCACAAGTCCAGCCGCTGTCACCACCACATCCTCTGGCACAAAAGGCCCCACCCCTGGCACATGGCAGGGCAGCTGGCATATGATATGTCCCTCCAGGTCCAGCACATGCACACAGGGAGCAGCCCCCGCTGTGAGGAAAAGCAGGCCATCTGGGGAACAGTGCAGGCCTCGGGGGCTCCCCGCAGCACCCGCGGGCACTGGGATCTGACCCAGCAGCCGCGGAGACTTCCCAGGTGGTCCAGACAGGGCCAGTGTGAGGCGGCTGGTCAGCTGCTGGGGAAGGCCAGGGGTGGGGCAAGATCCTGGATAGAGGAGCTGGGCCAAGGCTGGAGCTGCAAGAGAAGCAGCAGTGACTGAGACCCCCAGGGGAGACCAGGTTGAGCCCCTCCCTCCCAGGTGCCCTGGGGGTCTGAGAGTCTACAGCCCAGAGCCCTGCCTGGGTGCCCTGGGGGTCCTGGTGCCCACACACAGCCCTGCCCAGGGACAGGGCTCAGGGCTCAGCCTCTAGAAACCTCCAGCAGCCCCTCCAACGTCCAGCAGCAGGGGAGCTTTCCTGGGCTCCCGCACCCACCTGAGAGGCAACGACAGGCTCCAACCTCAGCTCAGCCTGGCAGCTGCTCTGTTGTTAGAAACCAGAGCGGGGCGGGAGCGGGGAGGGGCAGGCATGCGTGTACACACATGCGTACACACACACACACACACACGTATACACACGCGCGCGTGCGCATACACACACACACACATACACACAGGAGGAAGCTGCAGCAAGGCCCAGGGCTGCCCTGTGTTCACATCCACTTCCTGCTCACTCAGGCCCCAGCATGGCCTCCAGGACCTTGCAGTCCTGCCTGGCTGGACACTGTCCCAGGTGCAGCCTGTGTGGCTCTGACATGTCCATAGGCAGACCCCTCTCCCTTGCCCCACCCCAGGGCTGGGACCTGGACATGGCCTGCATGATCCTCCCAGCCCCCCCCACTCCAGGAAAGTGAAGGATGTTCTCCCAGTGCCTGGTCACCTGCCTGCTGGGTGCTGTGTATTCGAGGTGCCACAGCCTGTGGGGTGCTGGGGGGCCCAGTGCCAATCCCTATCTTGGTTGGTCCTGCTCTGGCTGGCCCAGCCCTGGAGCCGGTGCAAGCACCCCCAGAGGCTTTGATGGGGTTCAGAGGTGGGGCTGGTTTAGAGGGTAATTAGCTGGGGCTGAGGGTCCACTGCCCGTGGGAAAGGCCGGTCCAGCCCAGCCGAGTGCGCAGCCAGCTGTGACAGCTGATGCCTATCAACGCAAGGCTGGCGGGGTCCAGCCAGGCCTCTGGCATGGGGCGGGGACAGGGGGCCATGTGCCCCGCCCAGAGGAGCTGCTGCCAGCCCAGTATGGATCTGACCTGAGGCCCTGACCACATGCCTGACCCCCTGCAGGCCTGACCACAGCCCGTCCCTGCCCCACGCTGCCCCAAGAAAGACACACAGAGCAGTGAAGGATTACACTTTAATGTCCTCATGAGGCCAGACACGCTGTGGCCTCTTTTCTGGGGGCTGGCATGCTGGACAGACTGGCCGCAGGATGCCCCAGGCTGCCAGTGGGGTGGGGGGACAGACCAAAGCATGGCGCAGACAGTGCGAGCTCAGAGCTCAGATCCTCGGGGGCTGTGCGGGCCAGGGGCTGTCCCGGGGGTCCAGGAGCCTCCTGAGCAAACATGGGGGGCCCAGCCACCATGGGGAAGAGGCAGGTCCTCCAGGGCCTGCGGGGTGCTGTGCGGGGGAACACTGGAATCAGCCTCACACTTGGTGGTGCGACCACAGGGAGGCCCAGCTGGGCCCAGCACACTGGGCCCTTCGAGGGGCCCCTGGGCCAGTGCCGTGCCGAGCAGGGGCCGTCTCCAGGGTCCAGGGGGGCTCTCAGGTGCCTTGGTAGAGCCCCGCCTCACAGACAGGTCCAAGGGCATGTCTGGCGCCTGGCGGATGGCCAGCAGCTCCCCACGACCCCTGTCCAGCGGCTCCTGCGGTGGGCCCCTCAGGCACAGCTCCAGGTCCTCCCCTGAGTGGTGCTCGGGGTCCCTGGGAGGCAGCTGGGACAGGGGCTCCTGCTCCTCTGGCCAGAGCCTCTGGCCAGGGCTGTTCAGCGGGCTGGGGGGCAGAGCACACTCAGGGGACAGCAAGTGACCCCGCCCCAGTCCCAGTGTGTCCCCTGGCTTAGCCCCCCAACCTCACGCCCTGTCCCCTCCGCTGCCCCCATACCCACCTGCTCCAAGACCTGGACCTGGCTGAGCTGGCAAGGGGCCCTGGGGGCTCCAATCTGCTTCCGGGAGGCGGTGTCCTCTTGGCCACCCTTAGAGCCACTTGCTCTAGCTGCCCCGAACCTGGAGGGGTGCCCCAGGGCCAGGATGCCCCCAGCCCGGCGGCTGGAGTTGCCGGGGGTCCCCTGGGTGGGGTGAGGGGCTGGGCGGAGGCCGCCCCGCTTGCCGGCAGCCCCAGGAACAGAGGGCAGTAGAGGCGAGGGACAGGGCCAGCCCGTGCAGAGCCCTGCGGGGCCGGGCAGGCCACAGGCAGCAGGGGCCCCGTGGAGGCCAGGAAGGGCACGTGAGCAGCTGTCAGCGAGGGCCCCAGGCAGGAGAAGAGGGCAGGGCCCAGGGGGTAGCTGAGCCCCAGGAGGGGCAGGTGGAAGCTCTGGGCCTCCGGGGGCCCACCTGGGAGGGGCGGCGGGTAGCAGGGGGCCCCTCCCTCTGGGCCCACCCTTGCCACATCCATGGGGGCCATGCTCTGGGGGGCCCGACCCAGACCCCTCTTCCAGGGCTCAACCTGGAGCCTGCCCACGCCTGGCTCCGTCTGGGCCTCCCTGGGGGCAGGGGCCCGGGTCCCAACGGGGCCAAGGTCAGGGGTAGAGGAAGCAGCATCAAGCTGCGCTGCTGGGGTGGGGGCCCGGGGTCGGGGGGCATGCAGCAGCAGCGAGAGCGAGTCCTTGCAGAGGCTGTACTTCATGTGGTTGTACAGGTGCGACTTCTCCAGGCATGTGAAGGGGCACTGGAAGCATTTGTAGTTGTAGGGTTTGCCCCAGGGCCGCGGGATGTAGTGCGGCTTCTTGGGCTTGCGTGTCCGAGCGCCGGGGCCCACGTGGCAGGAGCCGGCCTCTCGGGACATGGCTGTCTGCTGGCAGGCTGGCCCCTGGCAGCATGGGCCCTGTGGGGGGGACCCTGGTCAGCGCCTGCCCAGCTGCAGTCTGGACGGTGTTGTTGCCCTGCTCTGTCCCTGCACTGGTCCGTGTCCCCGCCTGCACGCTCCTCTCTCCACACACAATCAAAATACTCACCGGGTGGATGACAGTCCTTCCCAGCTCAGCTCCTGATGCGTTCTGAACCCGCACAGAGACACTTGGGGAGCTGGGGCTAGTGCAGGGGTTAAGACACCCACCCTGGGCCACCCAGACACTTTTGGTCCCCCAGATGCCCCCAGGAGCCACCCCTGGGACAAAGCCAGGAAAGCCCCAACTCTGTGGCCTTCAGCTGGAAAGTTGGATGGGTGCCTGTGTTTTAGGGGTTAACCCCACACAAGCCCGTTTCTGTGGTGACTCCAGGAGACTCAGGCTGGGCTCAGTGTCTGCCTCCCCCTACGGACGCCGACTCCCTGCATAGCTGACAGCTGGCACCAGGACGGGGGACCCATAGGGCAACCACAGAAGCTCCGGAGCGGCTGTGGGACTCCGGGTCTCACTCCCGAGCACTGCAGGCCCCTGAGAGCGGCGGCTTGGTGGGCATGGGCTGGCGGGAGTGGACGGCGCAACCCCGCCACCTGCTCAACCTGGCTCCATCTGGGTGGCTCCAGGCAGGTCAGCGGCCTAGCCGGCCAAGACCCTTCTCCGCCCACATGCCGGTGAGCGTGGCAGGGAGCCCCCCCTCCATCTGCCCTGCCACCTGGGCTGCCCCCCTCCCCGGCCTGCACAGGGCGCAAGAGCAAGCCCCTTCTGACAGGCAGGACACAGACTCTGACACAGCCCAGAACCCTGTGGAGACGCAGAGGCACCCACTCCCGGGGCGAGGGGGGACGGACTGAGCGCACCAGGGCCGGCGTCCTCCTCGCTGGACAGGACTCTGCAGTGACGCCAGCCTGTCCCCAGTGCTGGGAGGCTGGAGGGGTGAAGGGGCCAGCTCTGGGAGGGCACAGAAGAGGCGGGTGGCCAGCCGTCCAGAGGGCCGGGCCCCCAGGAAGGGGCTGCAGACTGGGGGGACTGCGGGGGCAGGGAGGTAGCCCCACCCGCCCTACCCGCCCCCCACAGATGGCACACGAAGCCCGCGCTGGGAGCTGCCCATCCATCACCGGGCCCCGGGAGTCACACAGCTGTGCCTAGTGCACCACAGACCCCTCCCAGCCACGCACCTCTCCCTGTCACACACCCTCCCGGGCCCGGAGGGTGGGGCTCCTCCGGGCCCCTGTCTGCCAGGCACCTGCGCAGGAGCCCTTTGCAGCCACTGACCCCAAGGACGCCCGGACAGCACGGGAACCCCCGCTCCGGGCGCCAGCCGTGCCCCCTGCGAGCCGCCCGCCCGGACGCCACCAGTGCCCCGCGCAGGCACCGCGCGGAGGGGACCCAGCACCGCCCGCCGCCCAGCTCCGAGCGCTGGCGCCCCCGGACGCGAGACCCCCGCGCCCGCGCCGCCGACCCCGCAGCCCAAACTTGGCGGGACGCGCTGCCTTACCTGCGCCGGAGAGGAGCCCGGGACGCGGGAAACTTGCACGACGCGGAGCAGCCCGCGCGCTTGTGCCCGGCCGGCGCCCCCCGCCGCGCCCGCCCGCCCCGCCGAGCCGCCGCGCCGCGTCCCCCGACGCCGCTCGCGCTCCCGGAGTGGACGGCAGGAGCGTCCGCGCCTGCGCCCTGCGCGGGGCTGGGGGCCGCCACCTCCGGCCCACCTGGGCGCCGGGCACCGCGGGCGCAGGTGTGCGGGGCGGGCGCGGGGGGCGCGCCGGCCGCCGGGGGCCCCGCGGCCATGTGCCTGGGTGTCAGTGGCCCCGGGCGCCGCGGGGACAGGGCTGTCAGCTCCCATCCGTCAGGCGGGGACGCCCCTGCGCCCAGCTCCGCTTCAGCCCGGACCCCCACTCCCTGTCACCCTCCTCGGAAGGCCAGGACCCCCGGGCCCTGCCCCTCACGGCCCCACCCCCAGGCAGCGGCAAGTCCCAGCTCAGCGGCAGCCTGAGTCCTGGCGGGACAGACACGGACACAGGTCCCGGGGCTGGGAGGGCAGCCCCCAGCCCCACTGACTTGGGCTTGGTCCAGAAGGTCTGGAAATAAAGGGTTTACTATTTTTTGATTTTTGGATTATATCCAGCTGTGCTCAGGACTTAGGGATCATTCCTGCCTGGGCTCTGGGGAACACAGGCGGTGCTGGGGACTGGACTGGGTGAATCGGAGGCACAGCAAATGCTCTCCTCACTGTATGTACTCTCTGGTCCCGGACCAAAGATTGTGGAGCAGCTGCCCTGTTGGGTTCAGCAGCTTCCCAGGCATCCCCAGCTGTGATGTTCACGGAGGCAGCACTGAGGGGCCCTGGGTGCTGAGTTTGGTCCCAGCATCCGGTGTGCTCGGCCCTGGTGCTCCCCTGTGCAGGAGGAGCAGTGGACAGCAGAGACACATTTGGGGAACACCTCCTGCTTTTTTTGAATGCTTGTCAGGTCCAGTGCGCAGGGTTGGGGTGGGGGCCACCTGGGCGTGCCAGTCTCCTCCCAGCTGCCTGCTGGGCCCAGCTGACCGTGCAGCAGCCCCAGGCTGGGCCAGCTTCGGCCACCATCTTGCCAGCAGCCCTGTGCAGGGCGCTGGGGCTGTTCCTTTGCCTGCAGAACTCAAGGGTGGGTGCTGGCCGCCAGACTGCAGCGGGACTATACAGGGGTCACAGGCGGCCGCAGTGGCCGCCCCGAGGGCCTGACTTTGGGCTTGAGAAGGTCTGTGTGGGAGGTGTGGGTGGCTCTGGAGCTGGCTCATGGGGCCGCTGTGAGAGATCAGCCCAGCCTGGCCCACCCCATGTGCCCAGGACTCCTGAGACACTGCCCATGGGGCGAGTCTGGGTGGACACTGAGGGAACACTCGTTGAGGGGGGTTCTTCCTGTTCGGCCCTGGACCTCTCATCATGGCCACTTGTTTTTGGTGCTCAGCGGTGTGGGCACCCTGGGATCTGACCCAGCACAGGACACGGTGAATCCCAGAGACGCCAGGAACCCCCTCCCACTCACGGTGGCCTCAGGAACTCCAGGCCAGGGGCCGTGGCCCGTGGTGGCGACTGTCCGACCTGAAGAGCCATGGTTGAGTACCCAGCGGGGCAGCACACTGGGCCTTCTGGTCGCGAGGGAGCAGTGGTCATGTTCTGGGCTCTGAATGGGGCCACGCCCACTGCCCGGGGCGGACAGCAACCATATGTCTGAGAGAAGAGGAACCATCCTCATGGCCCCCGGGGCCCAGCCTTCCTGGGCCTGTCACTCTCTATCTTCATGCCTGAGTGGCGGGTGGTGGCAGGAGGGCCTCTGGGCAGTGCAGCTGTGTGGGGGACCGTGGCCTAGCCCACGGCCTGCACCACCCCCCTGCACGCTCCCCCCGCACCCCGCACTCTGCGGCTTGTCCCAGGACTGGGCCTGGGTCGCCCACCACCCCTGGGCCTCACGCACCAGCCCTGGCTCCTGTGGAGGTGCCCATCCCATCCCATCCTGCACAGGCGCCCGGGGCAGGCGGGAGAGGCCCTGAGTGGGGAGCTGGGGGGACAGGAGGCCGCAGCTAATTTGTACACTAAGTGCTTCTGACAGGCACCACACAAGTGAGAGCCGCAGTCAGTGGTGGGCAGCTGGGCGGTTAGGAGCAGCTCAGGCCCCAGGGAGGAGCTCACCCCGAGTCTGCACACCTGGGGGCCCCTCCCTGTCCCCCCCCCACATGGGTGAGTCCCCACTGCAGTCCCTCTGCCAAGTGGCAGGCAAGACCCAGTCAGTCCCATGAGATCCTGAGCCCGTGGGGCCTGGACGGGGAGCTGAGTGAACCGCTGGGCACGGTCCCCACCCCACCCCACCCCACCGTGGAGCCCCCCAGCCCACAACACCACAGGCTGCTTGGCAGGTGGGGCGGGCAGCATCGCGAGCACTGCGGAAGATGCGCTCTGGCAGCTCCCTGCTGCCCGAGGCCCGCCCGGAGCCAGCCCTGCCACTGCCTTTAATTGCTCTCACTTCCGAGGGCAGCCGGGCGCCTCTCACCCACTCACTGGCTGTGTCCAGAACACCCAGGAAAGCACGTGGGGCAAGGGTGTCCCATCGAGAGAACCTCCCAATCCACTCCAGCCTACAGGCTGTGGCATTCAGACAGAACCCCCCCCCCACGCCACTGAGGCCAGCTCTCTGAAGACTGACAGCGCGCCCCAGCCCCCTCCCTGCCAAGGCTGTGGGTGCTCGTGTCGCCGGGCCAGAGTGGGCCAGAACCCGGAGGGGAGGGAGCACACAGGAGGCGAGGCTACAAAACAAAACGTTTCTATTTGGTCCCTGGAGCCTGAGTCTGAAACCACCGGGGAAGTCGGGGCTGGCGGCTGATAAAATAGTCTCTGTCAGAAGAGCCGTATTTACAGGGTTAAAAATATTCACAGCTCAGAGAAAGAGGAAATAAAAACGGGGAGCAGGAGAGGGAGTGGTGCTTCCTGGCTTTCTTGGTGCCAAAGCCCCACGAGCCCCTGTACGGGCAGTCAGCGGGGCGGCCGGGGCCCCAGAAGCAGTGGAGATCCGGGGTAGCTGCGGGGGATGGCGGGGACAGTGGGGCAACCTCACCCTGCAGCGTGGACGGCCCCTGCCCTGCCCACAGGCAGCTGTGCCTAGCCCCCAGGAGCAGGCCCGGCCATGGCTTCCATCAGGGGCAGGAGGTCCAGGGATTGCATAGTTGGCACCAGAGGGACAGCGCCAGGCCCCAGGCCTCGGGAGGCCCCTGCGGCTGAGTGCCTGTCCCCGGCCCCCGAGTGCTGCGTGGGCCCGGGAATGGGAGCCACCTGTCTTGTCCAGGTGGGGCTGGGGCGAAGTCGGGGTTCTGGGCCTCTCGGGGTGGTCCCTGCTCAGTCGGATGAGGTTCAGACCCCATGGGCGGGGGGTGGTCCCTGTTCAGCCGGCCTGGACCTGATCTGAGGAGGGGGCTC